CAGGACGCCCACCTTACGAAGAGTTGCCTGAAAATGTGCCAGAGTTCGCGAAAGTGTTATCTGAAAGGATGGATGATATTCATCATCAAGTGCGTTCAAACTTGAAAACTTCTCCTGATTCCATGAAACTATGTTATGATAAGAGATCTACTGAAGTCAGCTTTGTACTAGGAGACAAGGTGTGGTTGTATAATCCCAGGAAGCCCAAAGGGAAGTCTACTAAGTTGTCTTATCCATGGAAAGGCCCCTATGACGTAATGGATCGTCTCTGAGACGTGACTTTCCGGATAAAATTTGGTCGGCGAGTTAAGCCAAAGGTGGCACATGCCAACAGGCTTTGTCGTTATCATGGTCAAGGCCATTTCAGTTGGAACGAAGGGAACAATGGAACAAATGACGCTGTCGAAGAAGAAACTCTACCCGGTTTTAAGAATGGAAACAGTGAAGCCTTTCATGAAATTACTACCACTGATGTGAATGTTACCGACAATAGGACATTTCCTGAAGGAGCAGATGAAACCCGGTGAAGCAGAAGCCAATAAGACAGAGACCAGTACGGAAGACGATACGTCCTGTAAAATTAAGATACTTTGTTGTATTTTAATTTTGTGTTTGTAAATTCTGTACATTTAATTAAGTTATTGTTAATTATCTATTGGTTTAGTGTAAGTGGCTATTGTTCGTGACGAACAATACTATGGAAGGGGCAGTGTTACGACAGCGGAAGTCAGTTTTGTAGTGCTCATGCAACCCACTTGACTCTTCGAATCTCAATGTTGAACTTACGTCGATGTATCTCGTATCTGACTGAGGTATTGATCAGACTGTCATACTGTGTAACGTATAACGATAGCTAGAAACACATTCTCATTCGTATCTAATTGAAGTGCTTATTGCACTGTCATTCAGATTAATTTTAAATAATAACCAGAATTGTGTTGTCTCTAATCAAGCTATTGGATAAGTGTATGATTTACTTGTTTAACCTCCCTCTATTTTTGACTGAGTTTCTTTAGTTCGTAGTACATTTAAAATTTTATTGTAAGAACGTTTTATTCCTCCTTTCTTTTTCACAAAAGTTTTCCTAATAAAGAAAGTGTAACTTCTTCAAGATACTTCTAACAAAATCAAAACTATTAGATAACATCAACCGTTATAAACACTAAATTACTGTTATCATTTGATAATTTTCTCATACTACGTGTTAATTGCACAATATGCTTTGTTATAATTTAACAATATCATTCTTGATTAAAGAGCTATTCTTGGGAATGCATAATAGTAGGTACTAAAACTGACTATTTAACAGGCTTTGTTAATGCTTCTCTTTCTGTATTGTCTATACTCTTAACTAACACTGGTTCAGGGTAGAGCACATTTTCACAAATCAATTGTGCAACTTTAATCTCCTTATGAATATTAGTTGGCTCAGAGACATTCACACTCACTCAAGTAACATAAATTTAAACTCGTCTTTATAAGGAATCTTTGAGTGAACGGTACAAAATATGACTATTTTGGTAGATGGTGGATTATTCCATTAGATCCGGAAATTCAGATGTTTAAGAGTGTTTGTTGTTAGTTTAAGCACAAAGCTGCACAATGGGCAATCTGTGCTCTGCTTACCACGGGTATCGAAACCCGGTTTTTAGCATTGTAAGTCTGCAGGCATTCTGCTGTGCCACTGGGGAGCCAATGAAAGTGAAATAGAACTTGAAAATTTAACTGTTGTATTGTACAAGGATAACAATATATAATGTAATGACATTTTTACAATTTCAATTTGAAAGAAATGTCATAATTTGTCTATACTGAAACACTGATGATTATGACGTCATCAGTATACTTTTTAAGAATACATTCATTTGTTAAATTGAAGGGAATTCATTTTTATAATTCACAATATAAAACACAAATTATATATGTAATCTTTAAGTCTTATTTAAATATAATTCCCCTACACCCATTTAACAATTGTCGTCAATAAGAAGCTTATAGCTCCCCAGTAGCACCGCGGTTTGTATTCGGACTTACAATGCTAGAATCCGGGTTTCAATACCCGTGGTGGGCAGAGCACAGATAGCCCATTGTGTAGCTTTCGGCTTAACTTCAAACAAACAAAAAAGGAGATTATATGTTGTAAAAAAGTAAAGCCCCACTGTAGAAAGTGCAAACAAGTGAAAGTTAACTCAGATTACATTACTCTTTCGAAATAAAACTGTTTGCAAAATTCCATATGGGGGTCTACTGCAGCACCACCTAGCCCAAGGTTCAATTGTACTGTCAGTTACGGTTCGTGTTTTAGTGAAACGCTGCTGAAGAAGCTGAAAAGCAAAATTTTGAGTATCCAATTAGAGAAAAATAACGATTTTGGTGTTTTAAGATCGTTTATATTACGGTAAAGTGAGCTGCACATTGAAAAAAGAGAGACACATTTGATCATTAGCAAAGTTGAATGGTATTAGTGAGCCATTAATTTGAATTTTCGTTTCTCACAAGAGGCTCAGTTAGCACATGATGAGTGTTGTTTGAGACGAATCTGTCAAAAGGAAAAGTAGTTAACCTCACAAAGTTACCACCTCGAAAAGTGGTTTTGTCAAATAAAGTTTCAAGAGCTTTGAAGATTTCTTTTACGGTAGAATTTCCCACTGTTTAGAGAAAAAGAACGGGTGGTGTTAAAATATTATAGAAAAATACATAAATAGGTTACATGGTGTAAGTTGTTTGGCAAAGTCAAATGTGTGGCTATGTTTCTTATAGTCGTTTTTCCATTCTATAGAAGAGGAAAATGCATCGTTTTCTAAAAAGTTTCTTCAAGTTGAATGTGCTGCTAAGTCTATAACCAAATTTTGCCTAATATATCTCTTTTAATTTTTCATCAACAATATTTTGGTGCCCCTTCTACACCATCACATAAGAATTGCAGTGATTCCGTATCCATACAGGAAGCCACGGACTCTAAAGGAAGACTCATCTCCATTAGATAGAAGAAGTAAAAACATTATGGTTTTCTCAAACGTTTCTTCAATTTCAATGTATAGCTGAGTATATAAATTAATTAAACTTGCCTCATACAGTGGCTTTTACAAATTCAATAAAGGTATTTTGGTGCCTCCTTTACACCATCATTTAAAAATTGTAGTAATCCCGTACACACCAAAAACTCCTACCCCCAAACAATCAAGTAGTGGGAAAATTGCCACTTGCAAAATTTCCCCTCTTTCAAAATGTGCAATTGGGTATTTAATCGCATATAAAATATTTCAAACTTACAAGATATGTTGCCTAGACATATTCCTAATTTCTCAAATGAAATCTGGCTTGATACCTACATCTTAGCTACAGGGGTCCAAAGCATTCTCAAAGTCCCCTACCCTTTACTATAGGAAATGAAGAGAAGTTTGATATTTTCCGAAAGTTTTGTTCTACACAATATGCGGCTGGGTATTTAGACGTATAGAACGTCCTTCAAACTTCCAGGACTTATTGTTTAGATGTATTACTAAATTCTCGCATCAAATTTGACTTGATACCGAAACCCCTTTGACGAGAAAATAGCCCGCATTCACCCCAACCCCTAGCAATCAAGTAGTAGGAAAATTGTCCGTTACAAAAATTTTCCTCTTATTGGCCGCATTAGAAAATATTTAAAATTTTCAGGTTTGTGGCTTAGACATATTTTTAGTTTCTCAAATGAAATTTGGCTTGATACCAACACCTTAAAGGGGCCTAGAGCATTCTCAAAGTCCTCTACTCTTTATAAAAGGAAATGAAGAGAAATCCTAACATTTTCCGAAAACTTTGTTTTAAATAATGTGCGACTGGTATGGCCAGGTGGTTAAGGCGTTCGATTCGCAATCTGAGGGTCGCGGGTTCGAATCCCCGTCCCACCAAACATGTTCGCCCTTTCAGCTGTGAGGGCGTTATAATGTGATGGTCAATCCCACTATTCGTTGGTAAAAGAGTAGCCCAAGAGTTGACGGTGGGTGATGATGACTAGCTGCCTTCCCTCTAGTCTTACACTGCTAAATTAGGGATGGCTAGCGCAGATAGCCCTCGTGTAGCTTTGTGCGAAATTCAAAAACAAACAAACAAACTTAGCCCCATAGAAAGTTCTTCAAACTTTCAGGTCTTCTTCCTTAGTCTCATTACTAATTTATCATATGAAATTTAGCTTGATAATGACACCCCTTTGACGAGAGAAGAGCCTATATTCACCCCTACCCCCGAACAATAAAGTCATTTAGTTATATCATAGTTATACTTGTTTGCACATTTATTAGTTAGTTGCTTTGATGCAGAACACCTCGGATAATGTAAGTGGCCATCATATTTCCCCTCAAGTTACTTGAGTCACTAACTTTGACTTGTAATGATAAGTGAAAGTGCAGCTGATTTGACTAGTATCGTTTATTACTAGTATTAATACTCATATATATATATATATATATTGAAACATGTCCGATTAAAGTTTGTGGGTTATAATATAAATTCTGGTCACTCAAAATAAGTACAAATTTCTAATTGAGGTGCTTCTACTCAACTTGAATATGAAAATAAATCACATAATGAATTTTTTTGGACATGCATCTTAAAGTTTCCAAGTGCAGCAATCGAATTCTTAAACGAAAAGAGAAAGTTAGTAAAGTACACGTAAAAGTTACACTTTAAGTTAACAGGAAAGTAATCATGACAATAATCACCCAAGGAGTCACAGAGAAGAAAATTTCTCAGGAGAAAGAACTGCTGGTCACAAAAGAAGTGGTACACAAGATACATTAATACTACTAGTAGTAGTACTAGCATTAAGTGTACTCTAATTATAGTTTTTAATTTTAATAATAACATTAGGTTAGGCCTAATTCTGAAACTAGTACAGCAGCAGTCGGTTAACTTACATTGTAAGTCACACTGTTATTGTTACAGGAGAAATGTGTTTTCTTACTTCCTTTTTGGAAAGTGCTCGTACGATGTTATAAGTTAAACATTTACTTTGCAAAGCATGCAAAATAAAATTAAAAATTTCAGCAGCATAATAGAAAATGTATAAATTAAAATGCTAAGCCTATACACATTATACAGACTACAAAGTACAGTGTATAGTTATGTCTACTGAAGTGGGCTATTTACAGTTCTACTGCTAGTGAAATATAAATTATAGACAAATGATTATTACTATTATTGAAGTTAATGAGTGGATGGGTATATCAAATGAAATTTAAAACTTCCTTTTTTACTTTGTCAGAGTACAGGTTTTGCAGAATGAACTTATGAAGTTGTTTATCACTTTTAGTTTCTATAGTCAAAATAACCTGGTATTGAAACTTTTATGTGTAAGCAAAATTGAAAATAAATTAAGTTTAGAAAATCATAATCTTATTCTCTATTTTTAAATTAAATTAAAACAACTAATTATTCTCCACATTTCACTCTCTCTCTTAAAACTAAAAGTTAAATTCATGTTTAAAACTTTGCTCAGAGAAACATTTTAAGTTGGTATGCTTTACGTTTTTGTTCAGTACTGTGTTCGTATTTGATATATTCTCCTTTTTCTTTTGGTTGATCTATCTGGAGTTTGTTTTGTTTAGTGGTGGCTCACACCTGATTAAAGTTAGAGTGGCACTATTTTGAAGGATTTTCACAATGAGACATAATGATTGACACTGGGTGGCACTGAGGTTTTGGTCACAATACTTTATAATTGTATACATTCCATGTGTAAATTGATGTACCATTCTATCTGTGACAAATAAATTTATCAGATATTTTGTCTGTAGCAGATAACTGTCCTGCATTGATTTATAATCTTGTCATCCTGTAGCAAGTAGTGTATAAAATAGATTAAACTGGTATGCCAGATATTCAAGAACATAGAGAATGGATTTCATATTTCTTGAAATTCAGAAATGTTGTGAGTTACAATTAATTAGAGTTTGTAAACATTGTATTATACAGCAAATTTTTCAGATTAATTTTTGAAGCTACATTATCTTTTCTGGTTCTTTTTCCTAACTAGTTGTAACCAGGTTATATTGTTGAATTAGAAATCTTGAAGTTTAGGTGTGTTGCTTATAAAAATCCAGGCTTTGTATCTTTTAATTACAAGTACTGTTTTATTTGTAAAATGTTAAATAAATATCCTATTTTGTTTTTTTATGAATCCTGATATTAATGTTTTGATTGTTTTAACATAGAATAAAGGATTTATTATAATTCCATAAACTAGTTTTTCTTTAAACATCAACATAAAACTGTTGATGTTAGTAAATAACATGTTCTTTATGGCACTTTGATCATGTAAAATTTAACGACAACAATGCACCTGCCTGCTGGTATAAGTAGGTTGTTGCATCCATTAAACTATATATAAATATACGTATAACTCAAAGCAAGTTCTTATTATTCAAATATTTATCAAGCCTTCCCTTAAACTAACTGCCTCCACCGTATCTGAAGGCATCCTATTCCAAAAGCCAACTACCTGTTAGAAAAATAAAACCGTTTTAGCTGAAGATGACTCCTACCCTGCCATAACTTGTGTCCACTATTCCAACCATTCTCACCACAAGAAAATGATGATGCACCAACACAATAAATTTTTTAACACTTTTAAACACCTTAGTCAGATCCCTTCTAACTCTTCTTCTTTCAAGAGAAAAGTTTTGGATATTAATCTATCCTTGTGTTACAACCCTTACACCCCAGGTATCATCCTAATACTAGTAATAGCCATCCACTGAACTCTTTCCAATAATTCAATGCTCTTCTTAAGGTAAGGCATCTAAGAATTGACAAAATATTCCAAAAGAGGCCTAACCAATGACCTATACAGTGATATAACCTCTTTAGATTTGTATTCATTATTTCTGTAGATACAACATAAAATCCTATTTGCCATACCACTAGCAACAGCATACTGCGTGGGTGGCTTAAGAGACTGATCAACCAGAATACCAAGATTATTTTAATCTATAACAATGTTAATGTTTCCACTAAATTATATTCATAATTCAAATTTTGATAACCCACATGCATTACCCTGCAGTTATTATAGTTAAAAGCCATCTGCCATTTATTTGTAAAATGCACAGACTATTTGTTATCCACAAAGTACTTTTTTAAGCAATACATTTAATGTCTCAGTGAAAAACTTAAAATATAGATATAACTAACACTTGATGGTTTGGTTTTCATCACTCCTTACTTCCTGAGACCAAGAGTTATGTTCCTCCTTCATTAAGGTTCTCTGTATCTATCTAAGTTAATGAAACACTCTCCACATAATTTGTCTTTCCAATATTGTAGTATCCTTAACAGATTTGCAAATATTACTGCTCAGGTAGTTATTTAAATCAATAACATTAATATTGAACAACAAAGGTTCCAAAGGAAGAAATACACTAGTCACTTCTGTACTTTTTCAACCAAACAAAATGTTTATCCACATTTATATCAGGTTTACTTACTGTTGAACTCTTTTTTTTTTTATTATTAAGAGCTAATAACTTTTAAAAACTTAGGATGCATCAAATCTTATAAGATGGCTTCATTAAAAAAAAACAAAAACATACTCCATGTTTTGACAGTTTGTGAATTCAAAGATCAGTTCTCTTAATAATCATTTGATCCTTACTTGAGATGTGTCCATATTGTATTCATTTGGATAGATGTAGACCACACTTGTTACACTCAGATAAGCTTATAGGATAATGCATTTATTTAAATTTGATGATGAGGAACCCACTTTGAGACTAAAGTATGAAATGTCTTGAATGGATAATATTTTGACAAGCTTTTGTCGTCATCAGGTACCTTTGTTACTGTTAACTTTGTTATATGGTTTCTTTCATTACCCATTCAACCTGTCTTCAAATTTTACATGTAGTTAAAGTTGTAGTACATAAGATAAAGTCAGTTTTGCTACATGTTTAAGGCTATAAAACAGCATAATGAAAAGTATTTTACTATATGTTTAAAGTTATAAAAACAGCATAAAGTTACTTTTGCTACATATTTAAGGCTGTAAAAACAGCGTAAAGTTACTTTTGTTACATATATAAGGCTGTAAAAACAGCATAAAGTTATTTTTGCTACATATTTAAGGCTGTAAAAACAGTGTAAATTTACTTCTGCTATATATTTAAGGCAGTAAAAACTGTGTAAAGTTTCATTTGCTACATATTTAAGGTTATAAAAACAGTGTAAAATCTCTTTTACTACATGATTAATGCTGTAAAAACAGTGTAAAGTTACTTTTTGCTATAAAATCTGTAACGTAAGTTCTCTTTTGCTACATATTGAAGGTTTTAAAACCAGTGTAATGTAAGTTCTCTTTTACTACATTTCATATTCCTTTTTAGTATAGACTGTTAAGAATCAGCATCCTGTCTTCTCTGCTCTAGTAATTTCAAACCAGGAAATCATCATTTTTAGGGCAAGGCAATTTGGCCTTGGAGTTTCTCTCATTTACAAGGGCACCAAGGCCACAAAAAAAAAAATTCGGTGGAGGGCACTAAAGCCACAGTACACATTAATGTTAACTGAATAGAAGTGAGTTTACCAAATAGTTTAGTAAATATGGCATTAATTTTTTTCACTGGGGGCTTCGAAAGCTGGCCTATTCTTCCAGATTATGTTTATCAAGTAGGTAAGTATTAACTTTAATCAATGAGTCTTATGAAGTAACAGTACATCAGCTTTAAGATTAAAAATAGAGGTATCATGATGATCTAAAATGCTCTGTGACCTTAATAAGATTCCTAGCTTTTTCCCCTTCCTGATCCCAAATGACATTTGACCTGAAAGTCATATACAACTTTTAGGCACCTTTCTCCACTTATTAATTTTTACTAACTTTGAGAAGGATCAAACAAAATTCATGGGAGGAGAAGCATTTTATAAGTTTCTAGAATTTGATCCCTGGTGACCTTACAAATCATGAACAAATTTCAGGCATCTCTACCCACTTACTAATTTATACAAGTTTGATAAAGATCCAGACTTACACATAAAGAGAACAAGTGCTTTATAAGATTTATAGCTTTTGCCCCCTCCTAACCCCAAATGACCTTTGACCTAAGAATTGTATACAACTTTTATGCACTGCTATCCATTTATTACTTTGACTTTGAGAATGATCAGACAAAATCCTTTGGAGGAGGAAAAGTTTAAAGGCCTAATTTCTACCAACAAAATTCAACCCCAACATGTCTGGCTACTTGACCAATATTGGAAAAAATCAGTAACATGATCTCAGGACAGCAGCTCTTTGAAAGTCTTGATGGACAGACAGATAGATAGAAAGTCACATTGCCATGATATAAGGTCAACATTCTGTTTCCAAACAATACTGCTTTTAGTATTTTTTTGCATAATTTCTAATGTAGGCTAATTCTGATAAACCGTAAACTAGGCCTACACTACAGTATAGCACATGGTCATAACCTATAAATCATGTGTCGTCACACATTGCATTGTGCAACTCACTACTTGTAATTCAGCAATGTTAATGTAGTAGGCCTAAGCCTTTGGTGGTTTGCACATAAAATTTATCAAGCCAAATTATCAACACATCTTATTTCCCTTCATTTTCTACACAAGAGGGAATTCTCAATAGCCACATCACTTGAAATTATTTTAAGCAGAATTAGAGTAAATTAATCTATGAGACTTTTTTTTTCCTTTTTATAAGCTATATTTTTGTGTGCCACCAATACCAAGCATGGGGTGTGCTTATACCCAAATTGGTTTTATTACTCATCAGGATCTCTACCAGCCTACTCTCAAATTGAAATTCTATTGAAAATAGTAAATTAGTCTATAAGACCTTGGGCGTGGTCAAATACATCAATCAAAAGTGTTTGACCTCCTGAATCGTAAACTATAATTACATCTCAAATCGGCCAAGAGATGATGAAGCTGTGAACTAAAAATTTGTACTTGAAAAGAACTCTGAGTCATTCTATGACCTACTAGGCTGAGTATAAAAATTGGGATGTAATCTACCTAAATACTGATGATACAAAAGTTCCAATTTCTGTCACTTGGCTGCCACAGAAAAAAATTTCATGGCATTCTCCCTCTTAACTTGTTCCTGTTTTGGCATGCTTGATGCAAAGAGTATTTGCAGTCACACACTTCACTTTGACCAGCATATGTATGTGGTGACTTTAATTGTCACGTACTGCTGTTGCTGTGGGTCTTTGTGTAAGCTCTGTGGGTTTGTTGTTTGAGTGCCAATTTGAATTGCATGCTACTACTAAGAGACTGACGTATGGTATGGCTCAACAAACTGCATGATTGTTTTGCTGCCGATCAAATAAAAAACTTCACTTCCTCCACTACATGCATTTTATGTGATATATTATTTGGAACAAGGTAGTTTTTGTAGGTTGTAAGTCCAGTGTTTGTGATCCCGATGGTTTTCCCTTTATTACGGTATGCAATACAAATTTAGATAATGAGGGCACAGCAGCCAAAGGGTGGCCATCATGGCTGTGGATTTTAGTGATTTTTTAAGGGCACCATGGCCATTTTGAAAAATAAGGCAGCAGCTGCTGTCATGAATTTCCTGCCCTGTAATTTTTTTCTTTTTGTATGACTTGTCAAGATGGAATACTGAATTGGATCAGTATTGTGAGATGTCACATTGCTAAGTCTGGACATCATCTTCATGGATGCCTCCATTTGTATTCTTCTTGATCCTTAGGCAACTATAAGAGTTGCTGTTACCATAGGACAGCCTTCAGTGACAAAAGTAATTTTTCTTTATGGGCTTCACCAGTACTCAACCTGTGATGTTGCTTATTTTATATAGGCTGGTGTTTTTTTTCCAGGATCTGTATAACTTGGACACAACTGTAAACAGTAGATGGTAGCTTATTTCCTTTTTTTTTGGTATAACTTTATGTTCGTGTATAGTTGCTGCTCAGTGTTATTGCTTGGTTCTGGTTATAAGTACTTGTGGATTATATTATGGCCAGATCAAAGTGCACAAGCCATGACCTTTTAGTGTTGCATTCAGTATTTAAACAACTTTAGTATACATGTATGTTAATAAGTCTATCATGAAAACTTAGTTTGTAATTCATATCTTTATATTATATAAGTTTTAACTTCATAATTTTAAAAGGAAATATTTGAAAATTCCCAGTCATCATGTTTCTTAGTCACACATTCCTTTTCAGCTCTGATTTCTCTCATTCAGAATTTTTTAACATCAAAAATAGGCTCCAGTTTCCAACTAAAATTTGAACCTCCATACTATTAACTTTCTAAGATATCAATAAAATTTTCAAACTCACCAGAAAAGCCCCTCTCCTCTCTTTGACTTTGGGAATTGTTTTCTTGCTAGTCAAATTTACATGGCATATGGACATGCTTGTAACCAATAGCAATAGTAAATTCTTCTCTTGGTGAATCTAGATCTCATTGTCGCAATTGTTCTGCTTAAATTATTCTTTTGATAAGTGTTTTTTGTTTTGTGATCATTTTTGTGCTCCTCATTATGCTAGCAGAAATGTTTAAACTTATTTATAGCTTATGTAGAAAGCCAGGTAAATTATAGTAGTTTGAGGGCATTCTATTCTAGTGATTGATATATTTTTTGTGTTCTAAAATGCATATTTGAAAGGCTGCTTGAAATTTGTTTTCGACACTAAATTTATGAGACTCAATAGGCTTAGGGAAGAACATCTTGGATTTTTACTTGAGTGCAAATGGCTAGAATATGCAATGAGTATTATAGATCCATGGTTTTTGTATGTATATTTTTTACGTATTGTTATATTCTTGTAGAAAAAGGGACTAAAAAGTAAAAAGTATAAACTTCTCAGCTTTACGTAACAAAACTTCATTAAAATATGACATCTAAACATTTCCTAGCCCAGTCTGAGCTTACCAGTAGTTTGTGGAGTCAAATTCCATGTGTTTCTTCATATTACTGGCACTGGCAACAGCTAATGGCATTTGCTGTGATTTATTGCTCTGCCAATGAGAGAAATACTGCTCCATTGTGTAGAAAGTGTTGAAGTAAAACCATTAAAGAAAGTAAATATGAAAAGGTTAGCAGCTGAGTTGAAACTGTTAAGTAATTTGAAAGTTTCTGAAAAATACTTCAGTCAATTTAAATGGCAGAATGGTATGACTCATTTAATATTTTTCAACAGTACATTGATGATTTCTATACAGACCTGTGAATCTAGTATGCTAAGTTAGGGTAGAGATAAAAGTTAAACTTTTATCAAGAAACACATCCTATAGTCATTTTACTTCTAGAGGTTATGGAAATAAAGTATGAAAACTTTAAGATGATATAAAGTATTTTTGGGATGAAAATCATCTTTTATTCAAACTGACTTGGTAGAGACTTCAGATAAAATACTTTGTTAAAAAACTGATTTTATTGGGCACAATATTTACTGAAAGCTTGCCAAATTTTGTGAATATATACGTAATAAGTTAGTTATATATAGCTTCACAGAGACGAGCTTACTCCAATAAACTGTCACCACTGTTAGAGGGCTAAGGTAATTCTTGATATATGTGTAACTTCCAGATGATGTGAAAAACAGCTGATAATAGATGCTTAATAAATATCCATATCTTGCAAAATGGCTCTTCCCTCCATTTTGTGTCTTTCAAGTCTCAATGGGGTAACTGAAACTATGTTTCTAAGTTTGCTTCCACAGTAGCTTGATGATTTATGGGTAATCTGATTGGTTGATAACTGATGTGAAATAAGATAGTCATACTAGAGAATATAAGCTCCAGTAGCTGCAGAATTTCTATTGTATAAATTTTCTGAAATATGATGATTTAAGGACTTTTTTTTTTCTTTAAAGTCATGTACATTTACCCTGCTAATATAATTTATATGCACACAATGTAATACAATGTAAGTACTTAAAAAACATATTATCTATAAAAGATAGTGTTTGAGTATTATAATGTTTTGAAGTACAGATAAATACATTTAAAAGGGTTACAAATAAAACACAAGACTTGTAGGACTGCTGAACCATTAATGTTTTTTGTAGCAAACAAAATGTCTTAAATCAGTGATTTAATATTATAATTTGTGTGGAATTATTTGTGACAGTATGTATTTTTTCTTCTCTATTCAACTGGCTTATTGATTTTTTTCAGTCTGAGGTGGAAAATGGTCAGGTAGAACAAAGAAACCCAAGGACCAGAACAGTGAGATTTCAGAATCATACTATTCGTATTAATTCAGCTTCAAGTCTCTGTATCTTTGTTACTGTACTGTTGGTTCTTACTTTTATAATCCTTGGTGGTGTATATTCATACAGACAGCTTACTCAATACAAGGTATGTATTTAGTTTTGATCTTCATGATCCCTGAAAAAAAAAAGTGTTTTCTGTTATCTTATGAAATTTCAAAGAAATAAATATCTTGAATGCTTGATTCAGATAGGTCTACAGAGTAACCTAAAAAATAGCTTGAGCCTTTTTGAAAGGTGGTTCTTTCTTTCTTATAATGAAAGAAACATCTTTTTATAATGCTAGATTTTTGGAGGTAATTGGAATGGAAGTTTTTGTTGATCCACGATACTTTCGTAATCTAAAATAATTTTATAATAGTTTCAGATATGAAACTATTAGAGCTCTTTCACACCAGTGTTTAGATATCTGGTACTATGTTCCATAAAATTTAAATGGAAAGACTTGCTTTCCATCTCAGGCTACTTACGCAACTTGGCAATGCAGTGTACAATTGTTACAGTAACCTGGAATTTGAATGATATACATGTTCACTCAGACTACTTATGCAACTTGACAATGCAGTGTACAGTTGTTACAGTACTCTGGAATTTGAATGATATACATGTTCACTCAGACTACTTATGCAACTTGACAGTGCAGTGTACAGTTGTTATCAGTAACCTGGAATTTGAATGATATGCATGTTCACTCAGACTACTTATGCAACTTGACAATGCAGTGTACAGTTGTTACAGTACCCTGGAATTTGAATGATATACATGTTCACTCAGACTACTTATGCAACTTGACAATGCTGTATACAATTGTTATTAGTAACCTGGAATTTGAATGATATACATGTTCACTCAGACTACTTATGCAACTTGACAATGCTGTATACAATTGTTATTAGTAACCTGGAATTTGAATGATATACATGTACACTCAGACTACTTATGCAACTTAACAATGCAGTATACAATTGTTACAGTAAACTGGAATTTGAATGATATACATGTTCACTCAGACTACTTATGCAACTTGACAATGCAGTATACAATTGATATTAGTAATCTGGAATTTGAATGATATACATGTACACTCAGACTACTTATGCAACTTAACAATGCAGTATACAATTGTTACAGTAAACTGGAATTTGAATGATATACATGTTCACTCAGACTACTTATGCAACTTGACAATGCAGTATACAATTGTTATTAGTAACCTGGAATTTGAATGATATACATGTACACTCAGACTACTTACACAACTTGACAATGTAATATACAATTGTTATTAGTAACCTGGAATTTGAATGATATACATGTACACTCAGACTACTTACACAACTTGACAATGTAATATACAATTGTTATTAGTAACCTGGAATTTGAATGATATACATGTACACTCAGACTACTTACACAACTTGACAATGTAATATACAGTTGTTATTAGTAACCTGGAATTTGAATGATATTCATGTACACTCAGACTACTTACACAACTTGACAATGTAATATACAATTGTTATTAGTAACCTGGAATTTGAATTGTATCCATGTACACTTGGAACAAGAATTCCTGTACCTTTTCTCCTACATAAAGTGGTTCTCTTTTATTGTATGTTTATTTAAAAAGAACCTTTCTCCAGTCATGTGTGCCAAATAGTTTTCTCTGTTTTGGTGCATTCTAATCATTTATCATTATTTTTCTTTTTCAGCAAGGGTTTAGATGATGTGACTTTCCCATGTAAGAAATATTTCTTAATACTTGAGTCATATTAAGGATTCAGATGTTCTTGAATTTGGGATGCAACTTTTTTAGCTTGTCACATAGGATTATTTACCTAATGCATTGGTCTTTGTTTGCACTAGTCACCTTCTTTCTTACACTTGTTGATTTTTACTTAACTCTGACTGTAACTCTTATCTTTGCTTTGAAAAGACTGCATATGGTTTTACTGTATTTACAATCATGTGTACTGTAAAAATAACTTTTTGTTACCATACCAGCATTATTAGCAAGTCAATTTAAAAACATTATCAAGCAGAAGATTTCATATATGTTATAGGTTTTAAATCAATTATATATATATATAGATATATATATTTTGAAAATAAATGTGGATAAATTTCTTTGTCTATGAGCCACTTCATAGGCTGATAAACACTAACTTAAACAAGGCCTAAAACAACAACTTTGTCAGGGAAATGCAACTTGAAACAGTCAAGTGCTAAATGGTCTAACTAGTCCTACTTCATCTATTTCCATGAAAAAATATTTCCTGTTATTCTGCAACGTCATAATTCAAATAAAGTATAAAATGATAAAACAAATTTTTCACAAGCTTTGAAAAATAAAAAGGAATATAATTTTGGCATAAGTTGTTCACAAATATCTTTTTTTCTATCAACATAACACTGAGCTAAGCTTTTATGACTTTGTTCTGATCTCCATATAGGTCTCTGCTGAAGCGGGATTTATACTGGCTTATACTCATGGTTTTCTAATATTTTGCCAGCTTTTTCTGTTTAAACCATAACTTTTAAAGTATTGTACTGCTTATATTAATACTGTTTCATAAAGTCTTTTGTCTCTCTTCGTCCAGCACAACTGACGAGTTCTGGTACTGAATGAAAAGCTTATTGGGTGGTGACTTGTAGAAGACAATAGATAAATCTGAAATACCACAATGGACAAATTAGCAGTTAACTTACAATTAACTTTTTTATGACAACTTTTATTAGTTAAGTAGAAACAAAAAATAAAGAGTTTGACATTATTTTTCAAATTCTGGTCAGATTCAACATTTGCATGGTCTCTCTGATTCAAGTGGATTAGTTTGTGATAAGTTTTTTTTCCCCTAATATTCAATACTCATTTCAGTTGAATATTTGTTCTTATTTTGGACTCCATTTTATTGCGGTGTTGTAGATTTTATTCCGTGTTTTTTGTAGAAATAAATAAAAACTAAAAAAGGACCTGTATCAAGTGCTGGTGAACCATTTCTAGAGTCTATTGAATAGAAGAGCCCTTGGGAAAGTTTTGTAGCTGATAGCTGACAGTTTTTTTCAAAACGTAATTATTAACCCAAACCGTACCAGACAAGGTTTTATGAGGTTTTGGCTTATTAATTTAAAGCCTCTGTCAGTGACATTTGGTAGTAATCTTTTTTAGTTTTCTGTTAGTAATAGTAAAAATTCCACAAGACTAAAGTAAGAAAATGTGATTGAATGATAATTATGAGAATCCTGAATATTTATAAGGTAAGCAGAGTATTTGTGTGGTGAAATGGTGTAATCATACAAAACATAGTCTGTTTATCAAATAATACACAAGTTTTTCAGATCTACTGACAGAGTTTTTCTCTATTTAATTAATAGTTCGTTCTAATGGTACATTATTGTTTTACAAATCTTTCCTTCTTAATGTTTATAATTGTATGTTTAAAATATTTATATCAAATAAGAATGATAATATTTCATCTGCTTGTATACATAAAAAATCCTCTGTATTCAGAATTTTGGATCCTTGTGTGTATGTGTATATATATATTCCTTTATTCTAAAAAAAGTCTAAAGCATAATTGTATAAGGGAGAGGTAAGTTATCCTCAACTCCTCAGAATGTATCTTCAAGTGAACCAAACAAAACCAGATATTTCCATGCTTTTTTATGCTAGAAATTAGAGGGGCACTTTAAAATATCTTCTAAATGATTATCTGTTGTAATCTCTTTATCAGCAACATCCTGTAAGGTGTGTAAGTGGAGCACATTATAGTGTCTTAGGGTGTTCCTGATTAGTGGATGACCATCAGTTTACACTAGTACTCAGAGACTTCCAAGAACACAACCCTCTATCCTGACCATTACAATTCATCCTTAAGGTAACACACACAAAACATTTCATGCAACCAACACACATCAAGCTGTTTCACACTTACACACCAGGCCAACTGTTGAGTGAAACACATGAACACATGGTTTGATATACCACTGACTCGGCTACATGCACAATCCACATCTCATACTGCCAACACACATCAAGCTGTTTCACACTTACACACCAGGCCAACTGTTGAGTGAAACACATGAACACATGGTTTGATATACCACTGACTCAGCTACATGCACAATCCACATCTCATACTGCCAACATACATCAAACTGTTTCACACTTACACACCAGGCCAACTGTTGAGTGAAACACATGGTTTGATATACCACTGACTCAGCTACATGCACAATCCACATCTCATACTGCCAACATACATCAAGCTGTTTCACACATACACACCAGGCTAACTGTTGAGCGAAGCACATGAATACATGGTATGATATATATTCTATCAGGTCAGATGGGATGACCACCAGTTATGATACATTATATCGGTGCCGATTTTATGAAATCTGCCCTGACCAGTATTTGAACCCATTGTCATTTAGCTTACACTAGTGCTCTGAGATTTATGCCTTTACCAAATGACCTATCAGAGTTCATGAAACAAAAAACTGTACTTAATGTTATGCTACAACATGTAGACTTATAATTTTTTGTTGTTATTCCATGGAATAAAATATATCATAACTACATTTTGACAGTATTTGGCATTTTGTAGGTAGTGTTATGCCAGAAAAAGATTGATCATTGTGGAAAAGTATATAATAGTCCTTTCCAATACAAAATATTCATACACTCAAATTATAAAGATGTACTGAGATTAGGATTTGAATTTAAAAATGGAAATATTCCTTGTTTAAATGCATTGGAAAATGAAAGAATGTGGATTAATTTTGGGTGCCAGGACCATCCAAAAAGAGACTTTCATCAAGTCAGATCCCAGCTGTGGTAAGCAAAATGTGGCATATTATAACAGGTAAGAATCCAGGAACACAGGTCAGTGGCAAAAGCCATCCATGTGTTTCAGACAAGTACACAATATAGTTATGGTGTGAATGAATATAATTTTAACTATACTTGTAATAAGACATCAGTATTAGATCTGTCATATGTTTAACACTACATTCGTTATTCAGTCCCACTATTGTGCTTATTGTGTCCCAGCTCAATCCTGATGAGCTCTGTATCAAGTGAAA